CCCCAAAACCCCAAAACCCCAAAACCCCAAAACCCCAAAACCCCACTAAAATTGCAAAAATTGAATTTAAATTTAAAAATTTCAAATGGAGAACACAGACCTTAATAATGTGATGGTAAGTTTCCAAAAACTCGACTATGCAACACTCAAAGCCGAGGAATCACACTATTTTTGCTAAACAAAGCTTAGGAGGGCTGATGTACCCATTTTGAGAGGACAAAAATGATGAATTTATCAGCCCTCCATGATTTTATTTGTCTCTAAACACAAAGAAGTATGCATAAATTCCATCGTTTGCTTGCCCACTCCCATAACTAGCCTTTACCATAGATGGCAATTTCGATTCTGAATGACCAAATAGTCTCAAAAATAGAGAAAATGATTCAGTACCAGGACTACCTGCTTGGCTACAAAAGTAATAAGATTGCTTCACCTGCAGACTCTGATCCCAAATAAAGCAAGTGTGTTCCTCCAAGGAAAGCTTGCCTTCCTAGAGTTTTGGAAGAAAGATTATGAGTCATTCTGTGACCAAATCTATAAGCTAAGTGAAGAAAATAAATTAGGTAAGAGCTACTTGCTCAGCTCTAGAAAGCCAATATTGCGAAGGCGATTGCGAAGAGAATGATAATAAAGACAAATCTCAAGGTAAATCTCCAGGTTATTCATAGAACATCCAGAGTTTGAACCTATTATTGAAGAAGGAGATTCTATTGCCACCAGTTCGGATTATAGCCCCATGGACCGTATCGAGACTGAACCGGTAAAGAAGAAACGAGAAACCCTCAGCTCACTCTTCAGAAGGTCTAAAATGAGTAAACGGGGCTGTAAGAGTAACACAAGTTTTGGTCCAACTAGTTCAAGCGAATCTGAGAGTATTGATATTAATCAACTCAGTCAATCTTCAGAATCAGAAAGCAGTATTATCAAAGAAGACACCTCTGAGTCTCGATCAAGTGCGAGCCACAACTATGTAGCTGGAGAAATTGAAGAAGGAATACATTTCACAATGTCTTCAGGAACTCTCGAGGGCCAAGATACTTTTGAATCCAAGCCGTCTCAGACTACTTACATCGACTCGAATGAAGAATTCAGGTATTCAGACAGGGACATCCTGCCCACACCTCTGAACTTGGAATTATAGTAAAGTAAGTTCCCTAGTAATTTCCAGAAAAATGAACAAATTCGAAGACAAAAAAGCTACAATAACAAGAAATAATTATGTAGAGCCTGACTCCTGCCGAGACAGTAAGCTACTGCCACTAACCACAGATGTAACAAACCGGAATTTGCAGGACCTCAGTGCTACCAGGCAGTTCAATACCACGAAGAAACTGACCCAGAAACAAGTTTGGACAGAAAGAAATATAAACCCCTTAGAAGTCTGAACAATGACCTCTAAAATCGGAAGCGAAAGGTCTGGATACAAGTTCCTAAGCGATGATAACTCCACATTCAGAGGAGGCAACCCCAGTAGTAATAAGAAGAGTAAGAGATCTGTCTAACCTCTAGATGCCACTCTTGAAGAGATCAAAGGAATTATTCAAAAGTAAGCCCTGCACTGGTCTATCCCTTAACTTGACACTTAAAATGATCGCCTGCTTATTGACCATGGATTTAGTCAGTCAAACCTCAGCCCTGATTTGGAAAATTACTGAGATAAGATTTCAAAGATGATGCACTTAATGACGGATTCTGACGACAAGAGCGCTATTGACCCTACAGACAAAGAGAACCTAGGGCTCAACTTCGACTTTTAGGATCCCATCCTTTGTAATTTTAGTAATAAATACTTATATTTCAACTTTATTGAGCAGTTTTGGGGTTTTGGGGTTTTGGGGTTTTGGGGTTTTGGGG